ATATCAACAAAATACACGAACTTTTATTTTCAATTAGGTACATACACAGAAGTGTAAGCACATTCACAATTTCACTTATATTTGTTATTATGTTGTCATTTTCTAAATTATTCAAATAATATTTGATATTATGTAGGTATACGTTTTGTTTTGAATTCATTAATTATTTATTTGAGACATTTTTACTATTTAGTTATAGACTCTCTAAGTTGAAAAGTATACTAGAAACTTAAAAAATAGTAATATATTTAAATGTTTAAGCACATAATCACTGTATTTTATTATACAAAATAAATATTTTACTTTTATTTTGTAATTATTCTTACTTAATCATATTTTTTTCCTTAATTTTTGTTTAAGGTGTAGGCAAAAGTTCGTTGCTATTAAGATTTGCTGACAATACTTTTAATGGCAGTTATATAACTACAATAGGAGTGGACTTTAAAATACAAACTGTGGAAATAGATGGTGAGAGAGTAAAGCTCCAAATTTGGGACACAGCTGGACAAGAACGATTTCGGACAATAACTTCTACTTACTATAGAGGAACACATGGTGTTATTGTTGTGTATGATGTGACTAGTGGTGACTCCTTTGCTAACGTTAAAAGATGGTTACATGAAATCGAACAAAATTGTGATGTGGTTAACAGGGTACTTGTAGGGAATAAGAATGATTCACCGAATGAAAAAGTGGTATTAACAGAAGATGCACAAAGATTCGCTAATCAAATGGGAATTCAATTGTTTGAAACTTCTGCTAAAGACAATATTAATGTTCAAGAAGTAAGTAACAGTTCTATTTTTGTGTGTTTGAAAACATTTAATACATGTTTTTTCATAATGTATATGGAGAGTCATGAATCAACAACTGTTTTACTGAGTTTCAATTCTTGAGTATATGAAACAAATTATTGCAGCATATTATAAAAATCTTAATTGTAATGATCTTTTAATATAATGAATTAAAATCAGCTTACACTAATTTCTTGTATTTAGATGTTTATGGCAATAACACGGCAGGTGCTTAGGACCAAAAAAGAAAGGAAGGAACGACAAGCTATACAAACCAGTGAAACAGTAAACCTGAGAAAAAGCACAAAACAACATAAAAAGAAATGTTGTTAACAGCACTGTATAAGCTTAAGATCTGTTATCAATATCATTTAAAGTGATGACAGAAG